TATATATATATATATATATATATATTAAAAGGAGCATTGACGTAACTGGTAAAGTTGCTGCTATATGACTAAGAGGTCACGGGTTCAAGCTGTGGAAACAGCCTACTTATTGTAGAAATGAAGGGTAAGACTGCATACAATAGACCCTTGTTGTCCAGTTCTTTCTTGGACCCCGCGCATAGCGAGAGCTTCGTGTGACTAGGAGGTCACAGGTTCGAGCTGTGGAAGCAGCCTTTTGCAGAAATGCAAGGTAAGACTGCGTACAATAGACCCTTGTGGTCCGGCCCTTCATCGGGCCAGACGCATAGCGGGAACTCAGTGCACTGAGCTGCCCAATGAGATTATATATTTATTTATTTATGTATTCTTATTAACTTATGGTTATTGTTTAGGAATTTCAGGAGAAAAGAAAAGTAGTTTTATTATGATATTAAATGAAGTGTTTTATATATGCAGAATCTAATGAAGGCATTTGCTGATTGGTACTATGATCGGAACTACACCTATGTGATAGATGAGCGTGACTTGCCAATCTCTGCTATGAATGATATTAAACCTTGCGACACCAAGAAGTGACGATGTGCATGCAGTGTTCCATTAAAATCTATTTATGTCAATGCATGTACTTTAGTGACAACAACTTGCTGGTATATGTGTTGATTGTTGATAATATAAATCAATAAAGTTCTTTTTTTTTTTTTTTTCAATTGTGGTTTCATTCAGTAAAGTTCTTTTTTTTTCTCCGGTTAAAGCTATCGCTCCTTCATAAGCCTGGACAAACATATATAGATGAATATATAAATATATAGGAGGGAGACTTATCTTACCTCTGTTAGGATGTCGGTTGAGCATCCTCAAACCTTTACCAAATGATGGATAAATATATATGTTCTAGCTTACAAAATAGTGACTTGAGAGGACTACTAATCCCTCTTGTCTATTGCATAATTACAAGCATATCAAGGAACATTAAATTGATATCTTCTGCCCAGGCTCCTGTCTAGAGAAATGGTATTCTTCGATTGTTTCATTCTAAATGAAAGTAATTGTAATATGTCCATTCTGTATTCTCCTCTAGCTTCCTCTGATAGTTGTTGCAGATTGTGAAACCATGTCATATTTCTAACTTTCAAGCCATAATTGGATAGTATATCAGCAACTTTGTTTCCTTCTCTATAACAATATGTTATTATCCTATCTTCCATAAGTTCGAGTTTGTTTCTCAAATCCAGAATTTATCAGTTAACTTCCATGGAATTTTAGCTTTTCCAAGAAACCAGTTAACCAATAACAAAGAGTCAATCTCCACAATGATCTTTTTGTATCCTTTCTCCGCACACCAATCTAATCCAGCCTTCAGAACTAATGATTCTGCCATATTATTTGTGATAATATCAAAAGGGATTGCATAAGCAGCTAATAATTCACCATTATAATTTCGAATAATCACTCCCCATGCACTAAGGCTTGTGTTGCCTTTAGAGCAGCCATCAGAATTGATCCTGGCAAATCCCAAGTTTGGGGGATTTCATTTAACATAGATAGATGAGATTGAGAACTTATCATTATTCACTTTATCACAAAAATTCTCCCAGTTCAGATGAGGACTAACTTTAGGAAATTGTTTATAAACAATTATACCTATTTGTTGTTGTATCTTCCAAAATATTCTTTTAGTGGACATTCTGTCATTTTCAAATCTGCATTTGCATCTAGCTTTTCAAATCTGCCATATAATGATTCCAAGAAGGGCCTGATGGATCAATTTCAGTAATGGTTTTGAGGTTTTCATAAACCACCATTTACGTACATGTTGTCTAAAAGTAGTTGCAGTTTGATTCATCTGGACCCTAAAAGTTTGATTAAGATGATGCCAAATAGGTCTGCATATATCACTCCCCGTAAAAATATATCTTTCATCTTTGATACTTGAGTTGATATAGCATGAACATTTGGATGGGAATTGGAGTCCAAATCTCTTCATATTCTCACCCACATGGATCTTATGTTTGAATAATTTTAATAGGAAAAGGAATTTTTTTAAGAGAATCTTCTTATGCCGCATCAAATAATTAACCAAAGTAGTATTCTTTTTGCTTCTTAGATGATCCCAAGCATAGCTACAATTGAATTTTCCATCTTTTAATGAAGTCCATATTCGATAATCACGTACCACTAGAGAATTAATTTTAACTCCCTGGATATGTTGTACAATCCCAGCATGTAGTATTTGAGCTAGCTTGGCCACATCCTATTCTCTGTTGATCATGAATGAAAATACATGAATTTTATTTGATGTAGAAGCCTCTCTAAACTGTGCAAGTTGTCCCAGGCATGTCCAGTTATCCCACCACAAACTTGCATTTCTTTCATTGATTTTCCATAAAATCAAATGATCTACCCTCTTCGTTATCTCCATTAATCTTCTCCAGGTATTTGAATTTAGGTAAGACCATTTCCTAGGTATAGGGTATATCCTGATGGAATATTTGGCTTTCATGAAGTCAGTCCATATCAAATCTCTGATTCTGAATTACCACCAAAGCTTAGCAACAAAAGTATTAACAATGTCTTGTAAAGACCTCAATCCAACTCCTCCTTCACCTATTGGATAACATAATGTACTCCAAGATAACCAATGGTATTTTTGCTTTCCTTCACTGCTTCCCAAGAAAAAACTGGCAAATACTCTTTCTATCTATTTTACTATTGTTTTTGGAGGATGGAAGATTGGCAAAAGGTGCACTGGCATAACTGATAACACATTTTTAATTAGGATCATTTTCCCTCCAGAGGATAGTAAGTGACTATGCCAAGTTCCCACCTTCAAAACAATTTTAGTGGCCATATCAGTGAAATAATGGACCCTTTTCCTTCCTGCATAAACTGGACATACTAAATAAGTAATTGGAGCTCTTTAAGTTGAATGTTCAAGCAGTTTTCTACTATGGATATCCTTCTGTAAGATATGTTGTCTCCTACCATAATACAAATTTTGTTCTTATTGATTAGTTAACCAGATGCCTTTTCGTATTCTTTCAGTTGCTCCATCACCAGATTCAAAGATGCAGTCTTTCCTGAAGAAAAAATAATAATATTATCAGCATAAGATAAATGATTAATTCTAGGTCCATTAGTATTCATAGTGAAACCTTTGAATCTTGGATTATCAAATAAATAATTTAAAATTCTAGAAAGTACGTCTGCAGCTAATATAAATAAAAAGGTGGATATGGGGTCTCCATATTTTACTCCTCTCTAGAATTTGAAGAAACCATATCTCTTCTCATTTATAATAATTGTATACCACATGTTACGATATTCGAAATTATATGTATCCATTGCTCCCCAAATCCCATTTTACTCATAACTACACAAGTGAATTGCCAAGATAGCCTATCATAGGCTTGGTTCATATCTAATTTGACAACAATATTTCCTCCATTATTTGGCTATTTGATGTCATGAATGATATTGTCACAACCCCGATTTTCCTCTGTAGAATATTGTGATGGAACCTAGTCTTTACTTCTAGGTAAGCCTAACTAATAATAATAACTCGACAGAAACAATTATCAAAATACTAAAACAAAGCTGAATACTGATATAACCTTTAGATACAAATATAATCTCAACAGTACGCTCCCCAATATCGGTGGAACTGAGTCATAAGTTCTATAAAGTAAAACTGGGATAACTACTACATCACTGTCTGAAAGAACTACGACAGTAAACAGAACAAAAGGGAAGGTGACTCTAACACCTGTGGATGTGGAGCAGGTGTACCTTAAAGTCTTCTAAGTAGCAATTCAATCAACTCTAGCATCCGGCATAGGTAGACGTACCTGGATCTGTACAAAAATATGCAGAAGCATAGTATGAATACACCACAATAGTACCTAGTAAGTATCAAGCCTAACATCCACAGAGTAGTTACGAGGCCATGTCAAGACACCTACTAGGATATAAATAAGCAGTATGGAAATGTAATGAGGATAAATAATGGAAAGCGAAGAAATAACTTACACGATACAAGATAATAACATAAACTATTACCGAAGATCAAACATGGAAATAACATAGAGGAAGCAACTAAAGAGAACTAAAATGATCATATATAGACAACAACAACTGCTAGAACAATAAAGAGTGAAACAACAAGAAATGTTCCCACCAAAACTCTTTGCAGCAAGAAATAAACAACAAGAATCACAACGAGGAACCGCCTCGTGTACAAGTAAATCACAACTGAGGCACCGCCTCGTATAATCAAGAATCACAACTAAGGTACCGTCTCGTATTCACATTTCTCAATTTCAATCACAACTTTTTCTTGTACCGCCGCGTGAGCCTTACATTTTAAAATAGATTTTGAAATAGTTTTTCCGAAATTACTACACGCACTTTAGCCTACTTTATGACGCTGACGGCTTCACATAGCTCTCCTACAAGAAACACGCACATAAGTCTCACCTTATACCGCCACATGCACATCAACCCCAAGCCTTATACAACTACATGTGCATCAATATCATATTACAATAACAACTCGCACCACATGTGACCATATATCACAATTTGCCAATAACCCACAATATCAGTATTTCCACAATAATAGCTCACGGATCCACCATAACGGGAATAAGAATATCAACAATAATAATGAATGTAAAATGCTCAAAAGGAAGATGTTCCAACAATAACAATTTCATCTCAACGTGATAACGGCTTTCATAACTTCAATACCAATAACTCAACAAGGAAAGAGATAACGTAAACAATAACTTCAAATAATAGTAATTAATACGGAAAGAGGTAACATGAACAATGACCTCAATAAATGATAATCAACAATAAAAGAGAAAACATGTATAATGACTTCAAATAATGGTAATTGACAATGAAGAGATATCATGAACAATAAATGAGACAGCAAGTTCAACTAAAGCATGAGAGCAAACTATCAATTAGGAGGTAGAAAAGTGTTAACAAAATTAGTTAAAGCATGTAAGGATAGATAACACAAGTAAGAATAGATTGACTAGGAAAAATATAACATGATATGGGATTTCAATTAAAGCATAAAAATAGTCTCAGCAAGCTAAACCGAAAAATACCACGTACAACTCGTGTACCTACTCATCACCTTGCGTACACGGATTTCACTTAGCACAACTGAATTAAACAATACCATTCTTAAGGGGTAATTTTTCCACATGAAGTTAGGCAAGACATTAATAAGTTACATGTACTTTGGTTATAAATACTTTACTTTATGTTTTGATGATCTAACAAACTTACTATCCAGAACCAGATAAGGAACCTGTTACACATTTACAAGACCTCAAGTTCACGAGATTCCAGGTTAGAACTCAATGAGGAATATGATTTAATTCCTCAAAGTGAAAGGAATAACTGAGGGACCAGGTCCCTACCAATTCCCGAGAAAACTGTACGAAGTCAACTCTGCAGTTGGAAAGTTGCTGCCTGCATACGCTACTGTATATATACATTCATTGGAAGTGATGTCACACAAGTATATATGCATTCAAGGGAGGTAAAACAAAGCACTTGAACACTCAGAGATAATACATAAGCTTACTCACGTGACTATTTAGCTAGGAAGTTTCAAGTGCCTCAAAAACAAAGAACAAAGCTACAGACCAGTTCCCACAATGAGTTATTATGTGTCCTTAGTTGAGTT